CTTCTGGAGCTTCGGGCCTTGAGGGCTTCGGTCTAGGGTTTAGGGTTCTAGGGCTTGGGGTCAGGGTTTAGCGCTTGAGGGTGTAGGGTTTCCGGTATCTGTAGGGATCAGGGGTTTAGGGTGCAGGAATTCATCTTGGCAAGTCCGAATGGTTTGGATGCTTTTCTGCGGGGTTCCGTTGGAGTCGTATTTTGGGGGTCAGGCCTCGAACACGTTTCAATTAAAAACCTTACCATTAGTTTAGGGTTTACGGTTTAGGGTTTGGGATGGAAGGTGGCTGCGGCTGTTGAGGCGTGTCGTCCTTGCTGAGGGAGTCTGGGCATGCTCGGCGAAGAAGATGTTGTCCGTCAGGTCATATTTAGGGTTTTTAATTAGGGATTTAGGGTTTAGGGTTTAGGTCATATTTAGGGTTTAGGGTTTAGGGCGTAGGGTCCGACAGGTCATAGCCAACAGTGGGCGCCCTGGCACAGTGCCATGGTGTTCGCAGCCAGCGTCATAGCTGGCGAATAAGCTCATAAGAGGCCGGTCCATCGTGAATGTCACGAGAGGGTGCCTCGTCCAGGAGAAGCTCCGCAATGCGGGGCTGCTTCTTGGGGCGCATAAGCAGGCTGTCCTCCTGGGACTTTAACTTGAAAGGGAGCCAGCGAATCTCTTTAACTGGTATCATCTTACAGGTGAGTGCCAAAAGCCGAGAGCTACTACAGGGGCCTTAATAATTGGAACAGGGTTTTGAGGCCCATTATACTATAAATATAGTAAGGAGCCCCCAGAATAGGATTGGTAATTATTTAAAAGGCCCCTACATTAGGGAAGTTGTCGGAGTCTAGGAGCTCCGCGGAGTAGTCTTCCTCAAAGCGCTTCTGCAAGGCCCATTGTTGGCAGTTAGGGTTTAGGGTTAAGGATTTATAGGGTTTTGGGCAAACCAGTGCCACGGCAACCAAGCACAGCCTATGTTTCCCAACTCACCCCTGAATGCTGAGCTGCTGCAAATTCACTGCGGTCTATACGGCTTTTGGCCGGTATGGCCCTTCAGGCGTCCCCGGCACCTTGCCCCACATACAATCCCGGAGAGTTTGGGACGGTTGAGGTCCAGCCGAACCCATGTAACTAACGAAACCATCTCAAATTTAAGGTTTAGGGGCTTAGGGGTTTAGGGGTTAGGGTTTAGGGCAGTTTAGGGTTTGTGGTTTTATAGATCTAGGGACAACCCGCTCTTCGTCAAAGCCACGGACGGACGCGGCATTCAGCGCCCTTGTCTGGCTAAAGTTCCTTCGCTCTTCGGGCTCTGGGCTGTCGTTGCTCGGGGGCTGATAGGTTCAGGGGTTTAGAGTGGCAGAGGTTTAGGGTTTGGGGGTTTTAGGAGGTTTTAGGGTTTAGTTTAGGATTTATGGTATAGGTTTGCGGCTTTAGGGTTTAAGGCTGTGGGGGTTGAACCGAGCTTTCAGGCTTCAACGTTCAAGTTTTACGACTTTGCGGCTTTCAGCTGTGGGTAATGTTTTGGGGCTTACGGTTCAGGGTCTGGGCTTTCAGTTGTTGTTCCGGTTAGGGCTGTCTGCCTGGGGCTTTAGTCTCATTATAAGCCTTATAAGCTCCATGAACAGAGAGTGTATATGGCATATGGCACCTGCATCAGCATCAGCATAGTGGGTAATCACACTGTAGGTCACCTGCAGCAGGCAAAGGAAGCAATAGCATGGGCTGCGTGTATGTCTGCTGGGGCTTCTCGATGGCCTCTGGCCTGGAGAGGGAATTGACTGTAAGGTTCCATGAACTGCAGAACATGTTTGAGTGCGGCACTCGAGTCGGGAAAGACGCAAGAAGTCTTAGCGCCGTGGCCAATAGCATCCTTGTTCTCGCTGGTCTCTGGCCTGGGAGGGAATCGACTGTAAGGAGAACATGGTTGAGTGTGGTATTCGGTACGTGAAAGATGCACGAGGTCTGGGTGGCCCGCTCAGTAGCATCATTCTCCGCACGCACATCGTCTTAGAATTCCCTGATCGATTTCCTACTGAAGTAACTTTGTACGCGTGGCGTGAACGTTACAAGAACGCAAGTTCTTATAAGTGTTGCTCTCGAATGCAATGAAGTTTCTTGGAATGGCACGGGTTCTTGTTTGTTTGTGCGATTGGTCCGCAGATGCTCGGGTCGTTGGTAATAGGACAAGCCTGTGTCGTCGCATCGAGGCCCGCGTCCCATTTTGAACTGCATGTGGCCGACGGCCGGCACGAAGATGGGCTTATGCCTACGGCATCGTCCCCCGCAGCATATTGCAAAACCAGTCCATGCTTTTTGTGCTGCTTCCGCACCGGACCCGAAGCCACCGAATGACTCGGCGGACGCAAGTGTTGCCACTTCGCGGTGGAGTCCGGAGACCGTAGCGGATGCAGTCCTTCCACTACACAAGTGGCAGGTCGGTACTAGTTTTTTTTGTCAATGTGACTTCTACGTTCCCATCTGTTAGACAAGCCACTCGAACCTGTGGTCTCATGTCTATCTGGTTGGATTTTGACCACGCGAGGTGGGCTTGCGTTGGCCATGCCTGCACAAGATGCAGCAATGCTTGTTACAGTTGATGTTAGTGTGGTGTAACTGTCACTCGATCTCATGCCTTGCGGTGGACGCAGGTTGCAGGAGTAGAATCGCCATGAAAAGAGCGATGTTAGGTAGACGCTTATCGTCATATATACAATGGAGGCATGTTCCACAAGCGTAGAAGTGCATCCGAGTAACTTGAGCCTGCCCCGATGTAGGACTATGGATCGTCCGAAGGCCAGCAAGGCTGGTCTGACATCGGCCAAACCTACAGGAAGGAAAAATTGATGGCACTCCGAGTTGGAGACTTCAAGTATAACAGCAGGGAGTCGGGCCCATAGGGTCGAAGGCAGGAGTCATGATCTCCAAGCAGACAGTCGCCATGAATGCGAACCTGGCATGATTACCTGCACACCCAGACAGTGGCAACGTGGCCCACACGTTGCAGTCAAGCGGCTGAAGACGGAGTGAGGTTGCGAAGATACTGAGAAGATAGTGCTTTGGCACAAGCTGAAGGCTGCGGATCAAATATGTTCACATTTCATTGCAAGATGATTCTTTCGTGTCAATGCAAGACGAGGTTGTTCTATAGTCTTGTGGTCGTGCATACATCACAGCTCTGCAGCAGTCATCATCATATACGTTATAAAGTCTCCGGTCCCAAGCCTCCATGTACTGCGCCTGCAGGCACCTCGCAGCACAGACCCAGCTCCGAATCATTGTTGCGAACATCGACAGCGTCACAAGCGTGATTCTCCCAGTAGCTGTCCTTCATTATTTGCTTACTTCTGTCAGCTTTAGGTGCCGGTCATGCTATTATATATCGTAAAGTATTTATACATAAGACTGCCTCGTGCGTGCAACTTGGTGCCGAACGTCGAGGACGTTGCGTCTCCAGGCCTGCCGTGGTGACGTACACACGACTACACATCTCAAAGAGTGTGCGATGATTGCCAGACATAGAATTCAGGCAAAGAGTCGGTATTCTTTTGTTTGGTAGAAACAGCTCTCAGACAGATGGCTTCTTCCACGGTGCCCACTCGCAGCTTGGCTTGCGGTGGCCTTTCGTGGCTCTCTTAAAGCCCCTGCGAAGCTGTTCACACGCAGGACAAAATTTATCATGATCATTCGCAAAACCGGGATACAAAATGTCATCGGCATTCGGATATCCTTGATGCTTGGGTGCATCGGGATCTTGCTTCGCGGCCGCTTTCGCGGTTTGGAAGCCGGCTTTGGGTTTGGGTTTAGTGCTCTCAGCGTCCATCACATTAGTCAGTGGACGGGGGGGAGGGGAAAGTGCCTTCACCATCGCCGCCTTAGACGGGGGACCTGTTACGGAGGCTTTGGGCTTTCCTGCTGACCCAGAAGTCTTCTTCACTGGAGGTTGTATTGTTGAAGCCTTTGAGGGCGCTCCTTTCTCGTCTGGCTTATCATCGTCGCTTTCACTTCCGGATTGCATAAACAATGATGAGCAAGACGAGAAAGTTGACGAGCGTTCCTCCTCCATATCGTCCAATTCCGGATCTCATCTGCTTCAACTTGGAGTATTGTGTCTTGACGAGCTGCTTCTCTTACAAGAAACGAGCTTGCAAGACTCCGAGTGCGAGCCGTTTAGATGAGCCGGTCGACGACATGGTGTGGAATATGGCACGGCAGGTCTGCGATAGTGTAAACCTCGAGTTCAGAGTGAAGATCCTGAACACCTAATATCCCCTACGAAATCTAAACAGCTCGACTGCAAGCGCAAAACCATGAATCCCAAACCCACAGGCATAAGTCCTACAAGCCCTACATCAATCCTCCACCCTAAACCCCAACTATCGCGGTGGCAACAAGCTCATGAACCCTCTTGTACTACCTCCAACATATAGTACAATAGGGATCCTCATATGAAGGCCTTTGCACAAAGTGAATAAACAAGGCAACTAGATTTCGCTTGTTGAACCGTGAAGGGTTCTGGAAGCCTTTAGCCCAGTCTGCTGAGTCTGACGACAAGAAAACCGAAACTGAAGCCAGTGTATCCTAAACCTTAAACCCTAAACCTAAACCCTAAAGCCCAAACCCTAACCCGATACCCTAAACCCTAAACCCCACATGGGGCTTAGTGCGGGTGCGTCCCACAGGCCAGAACCGCTTCTCTGTAATCTGCAGACACGGCTGTAAACCAGATATTTAGCATCCGACCGCACGCAAGACCCCTTCGCGTCCCTCTGGCGTTGGCTAAATCCACTGTCACCCTGAATCCAAGCAAACGGCTGCTTTGGTACCACCCGCTATCTATGAGTACGCAGTTATTATCACTACTGGTACAATCACTTGTCATGAATACTGTTATTGATCTGTTTTTTCTGCATAATCGTTGTCAGGTGGTACATGGCTCATCCCTCTTTTCATTCGAGGTGGGAGAGAGGGGGGGCGGTCTCCCACGCCTAAACCCTAATTAAGCCCTAAAGCCGTCGCCGAGTCGCAGTTTCACTCCGATGGCAGGCTCTTCGCCCTGCACTGAGCTCGCTTTGGGCTTTGAGATGCCATCTTCCAGATGAGGGGGTTTACAGTAGGGGGGCCTCAAAACTAGTTGTAATGAGGATGGGGTTCGCCTAAGGGTTCATATACTGTTTCGATACGGGGTTATGGGGCTTATATCGAGTAGAATAGGGCTTTAAAATGGCATATTATGGGGTACTTGCAGCGTGACAATACAGCATGCTTACAGGGTCTTATAGTCAAAGACGGCTTGATCATGGGGGCCTTCGACAACGTTGCACTGCTGATTCGGGCACTATAAGGGATCTACATGTAAAGGTTTCCTAAACCCTTAACCCTAAACCGTAAACCCTGGAGGGTCGTGCAAGGCTTGTTGAAGTGCTCGAAAAGGCCTCAGGGGTTGGAACGATTTGTGTAGCTGCCTAACTAATTGAGACCGGCCTGTGGGGTCTGTTGAAACGCAACCAATTTAGGGTGTATGGTTAAAAGGTTTAGGTTCGGCGTTTCAGGGAGGTAGCTTTATGCCTGCTTATGTCAAAACTCCAAACCTATTTGGGTTTAGGGTGTGAAGGGTTTAGGAGTCACAAGAAATTATATAAGGAATCACATGGACATTGACTCTGCCGGTTAATTGCTGCACACTTTAGTGTGGCACAAAAAGGTGAGTGGACAGTCAGGCAGGGTTACAGGCGTACTATAGTTATGATTAGGGTTAATGGAAAACACTAGTGACAATCATCATGGCAAGGATAGTAACAATAGTCACAGCCAGTGTACGTTGCAGGCATGACGTGGAAGCTGAACCCAAAGACCACATGAGAGTTGATGCATGATCGGCCCTAGACCCTTAACCCTGAACAACCATCCAGACTATTCCAGACTTGCAAGAGTTGCGGGTCAAAAGTCAAGGCACCTGATCTCAGAGCAGAGTCTGGCAGAGCTCGTAAGGATTGTGCAAAGGACATGGGCCGAAAGGTGCGCGCCTCCTCATCCAAAAAAAGCCACATGCAGTCAGGCGAGCAAAAGCTACCAAACATACCTAAAATCGCTCAGCGCGAAGAAATCCTCTGCGCCGAGATACCCAGAGAACCCAATACCCCTTAGTTAAGGAATATACCTTAAATTAGAGGGGCCTTAATATTACCTCCTCCCAGTTCCGCCTCAAGCACTTTCGGCACAGGTGGCTTCTTCGACTCGGCCAGCCTTTTGAGAACCGCGGGGTTTGGGGGCAGGGTTTGGGGTGTTGGAGCTTACAGCCTATAGGGTTCTTCTTTTTTGGGGCGAACCATGCAATTTTCTGGCAAGGGTCCTTCAGCAACAAACACGGGAACCAAGGTGGAAACTGCAACGGGCGGGAAGTTCTTGAACAGCTGCTTCATGTTCGGCTTCATCGGTGCGTTTTAACATGAAGCCCTCCGCAATAGAAACATGGCCAGAAAGTTCATTCCACACTTCCGGAAAAGGCGGCAGTTGCGAATCTGTGCACCACCCCTAACCCTTGGAGCCCAAAAGTGTTGCCATACCAGCACAAACCCTTAAGCCGTCCTTGTTCACAATCCCGAAACCCCCAACTGAACGTGGCAGTTGATCCCACTTATCTAATGCTTGCAACGTTAAGGGTGTAGAATTCTTGGGCTAAGGAATGACACGGTCTTATCGACACATAGCTAAACATAACACTTGGAAGGCGACGGTTTACCCATAGGCCCCATAGTAGTTCTTCCCGAATGCGTAGCAGAAGGGTTCTCGTTTCAAAGGTTGGGGTCCAGGGGCCCAATCGTTGACCAGGGATCGTCGTTAAAGCGTTCGCAAAGCGTTCGCAAAGCGTTCGCAAAGCGTTCGCGAAGCGTTCGCAAAGCGTTCG